ATAGCGGCAAGTGCTATGTAGCTCCACATAGGGGACACAGGAAGTGACATATAACACCTTCATGCGGCGTCGGAACCGCGTAGGAAATTCACAGCCGCACCGGCAGAGCTCCAGAATGTGCAACTCGGCCGGCTCACGCGCGGACGCGCTACAAGTGCGAGGGCCCGCCCAACGCTGCTTGCAGCTTTAATTTCTAATGGGACTGGACTTCTTTTTGCAACCAGCGGACTCGCCCCCTGCTGGCCGTTAGAGAGAATGCAGTTTTAAGTTCCGTCTGCATGGTTTCACTTTTCAGACCCTGAGGTTGCCGCTTGATTGAGATTTGAGAAATAACATAAAAACAACCACTTGTCAGGTACTGTAACTACAACTCTGGATTGGACAACAGTGCACGGCAACAGCTGCAAAACAACTGCAGGATGTTGAGTTTCTAATGCGATTTCTTTTGTTATCTTTCTTTTAATACTACTGTTTTTGCACATGTTGTGGGATCGGGTGGTAATAGTCACAAAATCAGCGGGAGCGGAATCGAGAAAACAGTCCGGCGCAGGTCTGTACCGCAGGTTTTTCTGTTGAAGAAAAGTGGTCACAGTTGTGTATAACCTCTTTACAGACGTCTTTGTCCTTATTTTCCGCTATTCCGTAAAGTCACAGGTTCCAACGTGCAAGTAGCTCTCAAACTCAGTTACTAGATGTTCCAGTGGGCTCGCTTTTTTTCTATGCTGCATCAACTCATAGTCAAAGTCAATTGTTTTCTTTATGCAGTCAATCTTTACTGTATTGCCAGATATCAGTTTCTCCATATATTTTTCTCCAAATATTTTAATAGAGTATCAATTCTTTTGTTAAGGATGTGGAAGATTTTCTGCAGTATCTCCGCTGTTCATGTTCAGGGAACAATGCGACTTGTGTTTCTTAGACGGTGGGGGTTTGGTAGGCGTTTCGGGGAGATAAGAAAACTCAGTATCCTCGAGGGAGGCTACAGTTTGATCTTCCATGCAGTAGTCGTGTAAGTTGTGCACAAGCAGGTTCTCCGCTGCTACTTCCATGCTGCCGTAGTTGTGGTATATTAGAAAGTAATGCTAATATTTGGGGTCCGTTTAAGCATATACTGCTTGACTGTCGCAGTTATAGACAAGTTGACATGAAGCTCTCAACACTGTTCTAAGATGCCTTGAGCAATTTAATTTATTTTGACTTAATAATTAGTATAATGAACTAAATTATAAGTCTGATGGTGAACAAGCTACCGAGCTTGAGTGCCCTCATGCCACCCTCTTGGCTCAGGCCACTCGACATGCACCTCCAAGCAGACATGAAGTGCTCCATGCTTTAAAGTAAATGTTACTAGTGGCCAAACCCCACAGCTGTAACACAGTGGATCAATAGATTTGAGCAACACAACCCAAGCACAATGACTCATTTCACTATCAGAATGTGATCCATTCGGTCAATACCATTTGAAAAATCATCATCTATAACAGCCGCATTAGGGTGCCATTCAATGTAATGGCCATTTTTTTTCAACATTTTCCAGGTCCTATCCCCTCATTCTGTTCCTTTATGATGCATAGTAACTGAGTAGTGAGATGTTTCATTCAGATATATTAATATTTACTGGTAGCTCAATGTCTTTAGATTGCGATAAAATCATCATTGCGATAAAATGTTATTTAATTCAAAATTTCTCTACCAAAGTAAATTAATCCTTGAGTACGTATTGTTATTTTTTTTTATATAATTTAACCATTTAACTGGGCTCGGTGATCTACAGTCTGAACATTTTCATGTTTCGCCTCGTCACATATGGTAAATGGGCTGTATTTGTATAGCACCTTTCTAGTCTTTTCAACCACTCAAAGTGCTTTACACTACATCACATTCACCCACCTATGAGTAGAGACCTAACTGCTCATCAGATACAGAAATTAACTCATTCACACACTGATGGCTCAGCCACGAGGTGCAATTTTGTGTTCCCAACCTTCCTTTAAGGGGACGACCGTTCTACCCTGAGTCAAAGTTGCCCACTTACGCCACTTCAACACTTTCATAATTAAGGTCTATCTCGTTTACATGTGCATTTGTTTCGTCCACTTCATAGAAATCTGCAGCTCTGTGAGGGAGAGCTAGCCTACGAAAACACATGTAGCTGTTTTTTAAGCTGCAATACAGTCATTCTCTGGACACTTATGAATACTTAAGTGTTTATTATTAACTTATGAAGGAACTGTTAGCAGCTATGTGTCTTATTTTTGAGGAGTTTTACATTATTCTAACTTGTGATATTAAAGTTAATATTACATGATAAAATCGGAAAATGTTGAATATTGTAAAACTTTGTCAGTGTTGAGCTACCAGTAAAATTATAAGAAAACATTCAAATTTTGTCAACTTAGTTTTTGTCACATTAACACATTTGGGGGGTGAGAAGATGAAAATTAGCCGCATGTATAATTTTACTCCCATTAAAGTTAGTGGAGGGCTAAACCAGAAGTTAGCTTGCTTGGCCAGCAAAAGTCAACACAGTGGACGCTGTAGCGGTGTAATTGCAGAACGACTCAGACACCGACTTCAAGCTCCTGTCCTGTGGAACCAGGTTCCAGTTTGGGTTCAGGTAGGCTTAAGACTTTCCTCTTTCATATATATATATATATATATATATATATATATGGCTGGCTCAGGTGAGTCCTGAACCATCCCTTAGTTATGCTGCTATAGGCCTAGACTGCCGGGGGATTTCCTATGATGCACTGAGCTCCTCTCTACTCTTCTTTCTCTCCCTCTGTATGCAACCTCATCCCATTAATGCATGTTACTAACTTGACTTCTTCCCTTTACAGTAGTCTTGTGCTTTCTCGTCCCTCTCCTCTCTCCTCCTATCACTTCCTGCAGGTGTTTCTGGCTCTGGAGCTGTAGAGTCTGGATCTGTAGTTGCATGTTCCTGTTCAACACCCTCTGCTACAATTATTAGTAGTCCTACTGTTATTATTATCTTTAACATTATGATTATTATCATTAACACTACTATAAATATCTGTACCATTATTCATTCAGTCTATAGCAATATTATCTTTACTGTGTGTATATTATGTAGGCTGCCTCCCTCCCTTCTCTCTCTCTCTGTGTCTCAATCTTGCCCTCTGTCTCTCTCTCTCCCCCAACCGGTCGAGGCAGATGGCCGCCCACCCTGAGCCATGGTTCTGCTCAAGGTTTCTGCCTCTTAAAAGGAAGTTTTTCCTTGCCTCTGTCGCCTAGTGCTTGCTCTTAGTGGGAATTGTTTGGCTTCTGTAAATAATATCACAGAGTACGGTCTAGACCTGCTATTTTATGAAAAGCACTCAGAGATAACTTGTTGATAATTATTGTTGTGATTTGGCCCTATATAAATAAAATTTAATCGACGCACAAGTAAAAATACGTGCCTATGCGTAACTACGCTGTTGGCTACGCACGTAAAGAAAGGACTTGAATAAATAAACACAATCAGAAGATCTTTACTACAAATGGAGCTGGTTATATTTTCCTTACACAATACACAAGAAAAACATGTCTGGAAAATAACAGAATTAACTTCCAGGTTGAGAAAAGCTTGTCTAGAACAGCAAAGATAGTTAGAAAGTAAAATCCAACAACTGGAATTATAACATTTAAAAACTTTACACAACAACCAACATTTAGTTTTGTGTGAAACCACTCAATGAACTACATCTCTCCTGTCACACAATATACATAACCAACATGTTAACGCTGTAATGCTACCTAACGTTCTTTAGTTGGTTGCTACCAGCTAAAGTTTGCTATGTTCTACTTACAATGTATCTCACCTGATGTGTTTAATCCAACTCCTGGTCCTTTCATCACCATCTACACATGGTAGTTCTGTGACATTACATACATATAACATACATATTTTCACAGTCTAATACTTTGACAGTTTTACAAAAAACCGCAACCTTCTTGACTTGCAAAATGCTATTTTAAATTGACAAATATAATGTGTGTAATACAGGGCACACTTTAAACAGGATGAAAAGAGGTTTTGTCTCCTGCCATTGACTACCGTATATATTTTAAGGGGAAGTAATTTGGAGACTGTGTCCAATAGACTATTGTCAGTGAAAGTTTGGTAGACGTCTAATCGTAGCCCAAAATAGTCTAGTCATCAATTAGACCATTGAACGGCTACATATATCGTGTATTAGATCGTGAAAATGGGTCTAGGCTAAAACAAGGTTGAATTTGGGCTGTCCGTGAAAAGTTAATAGACGTCTAACCATAGCTCAAGAATAGACCAATAGACTGTGCATCACCTGACAGACCCAGACGTCGTAATCCCAAGGTTTGGCCACTATGTCAAATTGGTTTCAAAACAAGGCGCACTTCCTACGGACTTGCTACGAACGGACACTGCACTAGTGCTTCCAATGCCAGGGAAATTGATACGAATTGTGACCATTTCGCTCCGATAACATTTGGAAAGTCTATTATTGTGTTATTGTATAAGTAAGCACATCAATGCACCTGCTCTTTCCGAGCAAGGCGCAGTATATCTCGAATCAGACTATTGTGTTTACAGTAGTTTGTGACAAGGCTTGGATCTGGGTCTCACTTGGCTATCGAGGCAACATTAGCCTTAATTTGTGGACTGCAACTTGGCCCGTTAGCCCAAGTAGCTTGCTTACTACTTCAGCTATCTCTTGTTCGGTCTGACAGTGCAACATCAAGAGAATTGTAAACTGGTTGTCTGAAAGTTTTTCTTGAGAACAGCTGTCAAAGGCTCAGTCTACTCAGATGTCTAGTCATCTCCTCTCCTGTCAACGCACAGCTGCTTAGTCACAATCCAGTCAGCTAGCCGTCTGTTAGCGCGGAGCTAATGTCAACTACAACTGCTAACCCATCTCAGGCTAAAGATACTAGCTACCTCAGTAAACTCAATATGTGACAGCTACGACACTGTCAGTAGAGGGTCATGGTGAGTTCAAAATACTTGGTCTTACCTTCGGACGTTAGCCTGCAGAAAGGCCTTAGGAGCTCAGCGAAATTCAGGTTGTTCTTGCGAGTCACCCTCTCCGCTTCTTCGCTACATAAGACGGCCACCATCGGAACAAACGAGTCCTGAACGAACTCCTGCACAGACTGAACACAATTGGCCATGTCGGACCACCGTCAAAACCAGCTAATACTAAACGGAGTCAACTCTCCTATGGTTTGAGATAGCCTGATTATATCATTGCTTAAGACAGCTCTCCTTCTAACAGCAGACAACAGCCATGTTGAATTTGCCAACCCACTTCCTGTGTTGAACTGAGACGGTCAGGTGATGCGTTACTCACACCGAGGCAGCTGTATAAGAAGAGAACATATTTAATAACAAGGAAGAAGATAACGAAATAATAATTTAAAAAATGGTAGTGTAGATTCAAATATTTTATCATCTCTCCAAATAAATTACACAGTTAGTCTTGATTGCCTTCTTGTTCTTAATGTTTTTAATTGTGGTGCTATACTGATGCAGTTCTTGGAGAAAGTGTCCAAATGTGGTTTGGAGTCACACCGAATTACTCCCTTTTCCTCTCCTGCCGTTTGGTAGTAGGCCTAAGCAAATTACTTCTTTCTTCTGTTCCTTTCCGACTAGGTACTGTTATAGACAGTATATTACTGGACGAAGCCACCCCGCTGATTTGAATGGAGAGCAGGAAGCCAGTTTTGGACCAATAAAATACTACTACCGGGCCACTTCCTGTTGGCACCAGCGTCTACTGCGCATCATCGCGCAGCATAACCGTGGTTTAATGACGTAGAACAACTGCAGAAACACCGTAATTCTGGTAGCTGTATAAATCCGCCGAGAAAAAGTTTCATGGCTCAGTGTGTTTGTCTGACTCTGATCGTCACTGTTTAATCAGCCCACCTACAAGGTTCACCTGTCAAACACCAAAGCAGCGTCACTGATTGCTCTGATCTGCTCTGTTTTTTTTTTTGATAGCTGAGAGTTTATAATCTTTTTTTGAATTGAAAGCCTATAGGTCATTAAAGAGAAAGAGCACCATATGTTGACAGTTTTAACTGCCTTTCTGTTGTTGGAGCCAGAAATCAGATTAATATAACGGACAACTTCATGGGAAAAAAGTATAAAATTTGTTTTTTTAGCGCTGCATTTTAAAATGTGAAATTTTGCCAAAAGAATTAATAAATTTATAATGAAGTACAACTTTTCTTTACTTTGACTTCTATAAAAGCAAAATACAACATTATTCCACAGTAAGGCAAAGTCTTTATAAATATGGTCAATGATGAATCTGCTGAGGTTTTGCCAAAATGTTCTGGTGTGTGAGCAATACCAAAAGAGGTGCAAAACAGTTTCTGGGTGGTCTTCACAAAAAGAATAGTTTGTATTGATGTCTCTTTTAAATTTAACAATGTAATGATTAGCAGGGTAATATCTGTGAATTATTCTGAACGACACTTCTTTTCACCTTGTTAAGTATCTTTTTTCCAGTCAATGTCATTTACAAATTGATTCCAATAAAATGTAATTTGGAATAGAAACAATTTCTTTCTGAAATAAAACATTAATGTTCTTATTATTTCGAGGAAGTTGGGAAAACAGATTTTTCCTACTGGTGATTCAGCCACATCGGGAGGGAAACAGTAGTAGTGGAAGTCTGCCAATATATCTAAAAAGCATGATTGTGCCTGATGGAATGGCGTCAAATACAATTGCAAATTCTCTTGGCATAACTGGAATGTTGTATGTTGATAAAATTCTCTATAGGAAAAGTCGCCCCTCTCTATTAAATAGCTGGTCCACCAGCAGAATCTGATCGAGTACCCAATTCTCAAAAAGAGTGATTTGTTCTTATATATATATCTCTGTTATTCCAAATTAGATACCTCTGAGGTGAGGAATTATGCTTATAAATGAGAGACCATGCTAAAAGGACTTGCTTGTGAAAAGTGGACAGTTTAACAGGGGGTTTGTCCACATTGTAGTTACAGTTTAGAATAAAGCCCAAACCACCAAAGCGAGAGAATATATAGTGGGGAATAAAGTTCCAAATCAAGACAGGGTTTTTAAGAAATGCTTAGCCCAATTAATCTTAAAAGTTATGTAGAGTATTTAAGTCTAAAAAGTTGAGACCACTAAATTCTACTAAATTATTCATAAACACTTTCTTTGATACAATGGGTACGATTTTTCCAGATGAAGTCAAAAAGCATTCTATCACTTTACAAATTTTACTGTCCAGTTGTAAAGAGAGAGCTTCATCTGTAAGCCGGGATATCCCTTCAGCCTTGGTAAGTAATTAGATAAGTCCCTTTGCAACTACTGGTTCAGTTTGTTCTGAGTTTTTTTAATGTTTGGACATCTTATTTTCTGATCTTTAGAGATAATAACTAAGTACGTAACTTCTTCCTTGATCGGAATGTTGCAAATAGTTTGTTACAATTACAATCTTTTAAAGGCAACAGTTCACATTTATTAATATTTAGGCATATACCAGAGGCCTTTGAAAACTGCTTAATTACTTGAATGGCGACAGGTATGTGGCTTACCTTTTTTTTAAAGATTGTGGTATCGACGCAAGCTGACTGATGAATATCCTACCCACAATAGAAATTCCTTGTACTGTTACCGACATGAGTAACAGTACAAGACAGATAAGGGGAAATCGGCATCCCTGACGAATTCCCTGTTTCAGATTAATCTAGGGGAAGTTCCATTTTTCAGTTTGATAGAGCTATTTCCATTAACATATAAGGTTTTAATTGCTTTGCAAAAAAAATCCCCAAAATCAAATTTTTCTAAAAATAAATTGGTGTTCTATTGTGTCACAGCCTTATAAAATCTAAGAAGAGGATGAAGCCCCCCAGCAAGCAATTTCACGGTTAAAAGACGTCTAATAGACGTCTAAACAGGGCCCAGTGAAAGTTTGGTAGACGTCTAATCGTAGCCCAAAAATAGTCTAGTCATCAATTAGACTACCATTGAACGGCTACATATATCGTGTATTAGATGTGAAAATGGGTCTAGGCTAAACAAGGTTGAATTTGGGCTGTACGTGAAAAGTTAATAGACGTCTAACCATAGCTCAAGAATAGACCAATACACAGCTTTTTAATGGCTACATATCTACATCTAATAGACAACAGAATAGTGGTTCAGAATAGTGATTGTTTTTACTTAAACTAACAGGTTCTCATAAATGGTAATCCATCCAAACAAATTAAAATAAGATTTTATTAAGAAAAAGGATTACAACATAGACAACTTAAGATAATACAACATGATGAAATATAAGAAATTATTGATAAAATATTATTATAAATACAAATACAAAACCATTTTAACAACATGCAGTAGTAAAAACATAAATAATGAGAAAATAAATGGGTTGCTACATCCAAATCTAGATCATCATATAAGCTGGTACTTGATGCAGGAAGAGCATCAGATGGGTCTCTCGGTTGGCGCCAGTCTCTCGGGTAAATGGGATCCATAACTGTTGAATATGTAAGAATATGAATATAAGTAAACATATAATTGACTTAAGACATGACTATCAACAAATGATTTTAAATGAAAAAATACACTTTATTTCTAATTATCATTCTA